CTAATGTATTTTAATAAGTAATTATTAACATGGGTTCAAAATATGCCACAACTTCTTACATGGAAGAAATGTGGTGTTTTTAGTATTTTCATTGTAATTCACATTTTCTCTTCATGAACAAACATTGAAGTTTTTGTAGTATTCACAACTCAGTGTATATTTTAAGGAAGAAGTAACAATAAGGTAGTTGGATGACAATACTGCTGACAGAAATCTTTTATGACCCTCAGACCCCAGTCAGGGTATTAGGTGGCAGAATGGTGAGATAGTGTTATCATTTACCTTCATAGCATCAGAAAGTGATAACTACTAAATTTGCTTCTCTCCTCTTTTTCTGATGGGGTACATTCTGAAATCGAGTGTCCTCATATCAGACCCAATAGGGGTTTGAAATTGTCCACTAATTTACGAAAAGTACTTGGTGAAAATTTAATTTAGCTAATTTTATTACATAGAGAAATATATAAAGGCATACATTAAATGTTGCCATTTGAAGCAACAAATTTATAACATATTAGCATATATTTCATTATTCTGGTAATTAATGCCTATTTTATATATGTTTCCAGACTATTATTCTGACCTCTTTAATTCTGAAAAGGAGTTTTCAAGACGGTATTCAAGAACAACATTGCCACACTCCTCTTACAGCAAAAGCCATTATCTCCATCATTGCCAACCTCTTCCTCTTCATCATAATATTCATTATCATGATCATCTTAGTTATAGCAAATTAACTATAACCAGGAGCCACCATTTGGAATCTTGCCTTTGGCTTAAGCCATGGCCATGACACCCTCTTGTCATGTAAAGGTAACATTTTAAGAAGTAAACTTCAAACGTAAAGACATGAAATAACAGTGAAAATAAGCTATTTTTATTATTTCATGTATGTATCTTAAATGATAAGAATACAATGAAAGCATACATATTTCATATATTTTTTACTTTTTATTGTTTATTGAGAAGAAAAGATCATATTGCAGCCCCTTCCTATGTGACCGGCTTTAGTATCCTTGGACATTCCCACTATCAGTCTACTGCTAATAAATAGCTGCTCATCTGAAAACAACTTAAAACTGTAGAGGTGGACCTATAAAAATGTTGGCAGTAGGATAAACATCACATCTAGTATTGAGAATAAAGATGGTTAAGTGTAACTAGAGAGGGAATAAAAAAAAAACACGTGTAGAGATTTTCTGAAACTCAGTCATAAGCAATACATAATAGGTGGAAAATAACTGTTGCCAACAGAACTGAATGTTCTGTAGCCATAAGAAATTTTATTGAGCTATAATTTTAAGCAAAGCCTGCAGAAAAATCTGTGCCCAGAAGGCATGTTCCAATAGTGATGGGCACTTGGGTAGTGACTACAGTGACAGATATTTGGAGAAGAGATATAGCTACGATCCAAAACATAACACTCACCTATGAAAATTTCCCTTTAACCTTTTCTTAACATACACATTATACTTTCCTCTCAAACAAAGCTCATCATTACAAAAATGGACTATATATAAAAACAGATATTAGCAAATATGATAAGAGAATTGAATCTAACATATAAAAAATGATATTACAACTCAGCAATAAAAAGACAAAAATAGAAACAATAAATGGGCAAAGGATCTAAATAGACATTTCTCCAAAGAAGACATACAAATGACCAATAAGCACATAAAAAGATGCTAAAAATAACAGGCCATTAGAAATATGCAAGTCAAAAGCATAATGATATACATTTCACACCCACTAGAATAGCTATAACAAAAAAGGCAGGTAATAAATATTGATGAATATGTGGAGAATTTGGAAAGCTGTTTTTAAAAAAATAAAGGAAAAAAGCAATGGGCCCAAATTGATCCATAGGTTAATGTCATTTCTATAAAAATCTCAGTAATGTCTTTTGTAAACATAGATAAGCCTAATCTAAAATTTTTATGGAAAGACACACACAGCCTAGAAGAGATGAAACAATCTTATAAGAAAGGAAGAAAATGGGATGAATACGTCTTCCTGATATTAAGTCCTACTGTATAGCTACAGTAATCAAGATAGTGTGGTATTGGTAGAAAGACACAGAGGAACACAATAGAGAACCCAGAAATAGACTCACACAAATACACCCAATTGATTTTTGCAAAGGTGCAGAAACAATTAAATGGAGGAAGCCTTTTCAACAATGGTGCTAGAGTATTGAACATACATAGGAAAAAAATTAAACATCTACCTGAACCTCAGCCTTATACAAAAATGAAGTAAAAATGGATCATAAACTTAAATGTAAAATTATAAAACTTAGAAAAAATATAGGAGAATATCTTTAGGATCTATAACTAGACAAAGAGTTCTTAGATTTGATATCAAAAGATCCATAAATAGAAAAAAATAATAAATTGAATCACATTAACATTAAAAACATTTTCTGTGTTAAGAAACTTTTTTAGAATGAAAAGAAAAGCTAAAGACTAGGCAAAAATATTTGCAAACTACATATCTAACAAAGGATTAGTGTCTAGAATATATAAATAACTCTCAAACTCAACAGTAATGAAAAAAACTACCCAATTAGAAAATGGATAAAAGACATGAACAGACATTGCACTAAAGAGTAAAAATAGACAGCAAACTAGTACACAAAAATGTGTTCAACATCAGTAGCCTTTAGGGATACGCAAATTAAAACAAAAATGAAATATCAGTATATACCTTTCAGAATGGCTAATATATAAAAACAGTAACAACATCAAATGCTGACAAGAATCTAGAGAAATGGGATTACTCATACATTGCTGGTGGGAATATAAAAATGGTACAGGTACTCTTTAAAACAGTCTGGCAATTTCTTATGGAACTAAACATGTAACTAGTACAGGTACTCTTTAAAACAGTCTGGCAATTTCTTATGGAACTAAACATGTAACTACCTTAGGACCCAGTAATTGCACTTCAGGCCGTTTATCTGAAAAAGTGAGGTACAAGAAACTGACTTAGAGGAATGATGATGATGGGACAGAGGCTGGTTTTGTCAACCATACCCATTCTTCCTTTACACTTTAACTTCAATTCAGCCTGAATAGTTTTTATTTGAATTATTTGAACAAAAATACATGGATAGGAGAGTGAGAAAGAAGGAAAGTGCTTTATCTTAGATTATGAAGGGAATTTCAGAAAATATCTGCTTTCTATAGCAATTAAATTCTGATAGTTCAGCAAATAAAATATTACATATGGAATAAGCCAAATTGCATATTACTATGAATGTATATAAAGATGCTATTGCTCTTTGTAAAAGCAATGCTTTGTGTTAGAATTTTCTTTTTTTTTTTCTTTTTTTTTTTTTTTGAGACAGAGTCTCACTGTGTTGCCCGGGCTAGAGTGCCGTGGCGTCAGCCTAGCTCACAGCAACCTCAAACTCCTGGGCTCAAGCAATTCTTCTGCCTCAGCCTCCCGAGTAGCTGGGACTACAGCCATGCACCACCATGCCCGGCTAATTTTTTCTATATATTTTTAGTTGTCCGATTAATTTCTTTCTATTTTTAGTAGAGACGGGATCTCGCTCTTGCTCAGGCTGGTCTCGAACTCCTGAGCTCAAACAATCTGCCCGCCTCGGCCTCCCAGAGTGCTAGGATTACAGGCGTGAGCCACCGCGCCCGGCCTAGAATTTTCTTAAACAACATGCATAAGTTTAAAGCTATAAGACTTTAACTGCATAGAATATTGCACGAGTCTTTAGTTATTGAAATTGCTAGTATGTGTATAAAACATAATTTTATTAATTACTACAATTATCTGGTATATTTTAATCTTACTGGCAAGAATTGTTGAGAAAACATATTTTAATGGTAATTTTCTGGAAAGGAAGTCTCTCGAGACAAAAGTGCTGATTTCTAAATTGCTACTCAAACATGAGAGACCCCCAGTTCTAAAATCCAATAGGCAAGTTACGGGAAGCGACTCATATTTGGTTAAGACAATACAACATTCTTCATTTATATTTTGCCTGAGCTTCAGTTTCAGAACAAGACACATATCTTGTGCATGTTTTTGTCAGATTTGTTCTAAATAGGTCAGCTCTGTTAACAAGCTCTAGTGCCTTTATTAGTGTTATAAAAACACTTTTCTAACAATACAGTTTGGGGGCTGAAAATGATTGTGGAGGAATTTTAGTACACATACATTATATTTATAAAGAAACCATTCTTACCAATAATTCAGACAACAGAAAATGTGGTAACAACGAATCACCCACTTATTCATTCATTATTTTTCTCATCTGTATAGATATTTATTAATTACTTGTGATTGCATATTTTCTTTGTCACCACATCCTGAATGCCAGAAGAGACCATTAACACACACTCTTTTCTCTTTGCAAACTGCTCATGGGAAGCGGATGATCCTTTATGTTTATTAAACTCCACAAGATTTGCCTACCTCTGAACACTTGGAATGGAAGGAGTTACTTTCAAGTGTGTTTTCAAAGGCAGCAGGGCTGAAAGAGCAGAGCAGCAGCCTGGTGAGGAAAGCACCATGAGTTCCACTGTCATCTTGACCCTGATGACCCCTTCATTTCACTTCCCTGAGCTGCAAAAACACAGAGAGCTGTGTGACTCTTGCTCACCCAGGGACATGAAAAGGCAATCATGCAACAAAAACAAGTTGGAGGTCAGACATGACAGTGAAGTCTTGTGGAAAGAGGTGAGTCGAGAATCAGAGGGCTCGAACACTGTTTTCCACTAATCAGGACTGTGCGACCACAAACAAGTCACACTTTCATTTCATTATCACAAAGTGACTAGAATGGTTAGTAAAAAGAGAATGTGCACGCGTATTTTTTTTTTCATTTTTTTTTATTTCAGCATATTATGGGGGTACAGATGTTTAGGTTATGTATGTTGCCCTTGCCCCCCGCCAAGTCCGAATTTCAAATATGTCCATCCTTCGGGTGGTGCGCATTGCACTCTTTGTGTATGCAAATACCCATCCCCTCCTCCCTCCTCCCCCCTCCCCCCTCCTCCTCCCCCCTGCCCAACATCCAATAGATGTTATTCTTATATGTGCACTTATGTGTTGATCAGTTAATACCAATTTGATGGTGAGCGTTTATTTTTTTTAAAGGAATACTTTTGATAGTACTTTAAAGTCTAAATAAAGGCTGGATTAATCTGATGTACTATTATAATTACCAAATAACAGAAAAAGGACTGATCTCATAACTTGGTTTTCTAAATTTGAATAAAAACTAAACAGTTTTTTAGTCTCAAGGCAAGTTTCCTTTAGTCAAAGAAGTTTTAATTTTGCTCAAAAGGAAAACAGATTAGCAAAAAACAAATAAAAGAGCTTCTTAAAAGACATTAGTTCTTGGATGGCAAATAATCTTTAAAAACAAGGTTGTGATAATATATTGAAGTGAATCAGAACCTAACGGATTGAATTCTGTCAAATGGTTTTAGAAAGAGAGAAAATGTTTACCCAGAAATGACTGGAACTTCAAGAAAGACAAACACAGAACATATTTCATGCTGTCTTTCTCACATGGGTATTTAAAGCTTGTAGTAATGTGTTGAAACTGTGAGAAATAAATAAGAAAAGAATTTTTAAAAGATACCACTAAAGAAATTACAATTACTTTTAATCCTAAAATATTTATTAGCTAGTATTAGATAATTTCCTTTGTCATTTTCAAACTCAAGTTTTTAATGGCTGCTTGACAAATTAGCAGTTTAAAACGTATATCCTTACATGTGCTGGCAATTCCAACAGATAACACTTAAGGCCAATAGTAATTAGAACAGTATCTGAGGAAGCTTAGAAACACAACACAAACACTTTCAACTCACTTTCCTCTTTTCTTGATCAAAGATTATGAAATGCCGTATACTTATTGACCATTTCTCTTAATATTAATAACATGATCAGAAACATCATCTTCTTTTATACTCATAACTACTTAAGGAAGACACAGAGGCTTTAACAGTTTTAATTTGGATGATGTTCACATCATACAAGTATATGACACAATCATTCTCAAGAAGAGTTCAAGTGAAGTGAAATCAAAGCAGAGCTGAAAGGGAAGTGACTCTTGGTTTTGTCTATACTATCTAAAGGCTGATATTATAGTTCTCTTTTTCCAGCTGAGCTGTTTGCTCTTTAATAAAAAATGAAATTATGCAGAAATTACACAAAAAAGTGTATATTGCAACTTTCAAAAGGGAGGTAGGACAGAAAAGCACATATGGGAAGCAGAAACTATAACAGATAATTGGAATACAAAAACCCAGGGGGGGAAAACCAATCTCAGTACTTAAACATTATAATACATCTTTACCACAGTAATCATATAAACTGAAATCATAACCTAATTTTTGTCTAATTATATCTTATAATATGACACAATTATAACTGAATTTATGCCATGGTTACTCTGAAGCACTTATTCCCAATTATTAACTCTATATGAAAGGAAAAAGTCTTCAGCAGTCTATTCATGTAATCTTTCTCAATTGAGTGAGTTAAACAGTACCTGGGAAAGTGTTTGATATGGCATTAAAATGTGGAATATCAAAAACATGGCTTCTATCTGTGAAGTTTTTATTATGCCATTGAATTAATAAAGGTTTAAAAGAAATTTTTTAAAATATACATCAAACTTTAACATTCATTCATTCATGGATCTGCGGAGACAAAATCATGGCTACTTGTAACTAAAATTAGCTAAAGCATTTTTTCTATTACTTTTCTATTATACCCACTGGTGACAAGGAAGGAAAAAGCTAATATTTCTGGCATCTACTGTATTACAGGAATTTTCAAATGCTTTCTCATTTAGTCCTTACAAAAATCTTATAAATCAGGTTTTATTATTTTTATTTTATGAATGGGGAAACAGAGACACATAAGCAATTTTCCTAAGCAAATGACACGCCAGTGATTTGAATTTACTTAATTTAAGAAAATTTTGTGGCAAAAATGCTAAGAAAGTGTGATAGAAAAAATTACAAAAATTATATTATATTATTTTTATGTATTTTTTTTAAATTTGTGAGTCATTTTCATAATACAAACCATACCATCTAAATAAGGCTCATTACATGACTTATCAAGCAATTGGTCTATTTCAGAATCACCTCAGTACAAAGAAGTACTGACCATCACATATAGAAAACTTCCTTTTGAAATAATGGTCTATATTCTGCTATTGACAGCAGTGTAACCTAGATCAGTTTTCAACAGAGGCTCTGTGAGTTCTCTAGAATATTGTTTTTATATTTTTTATTAATTGTTTTATTATCGTAGTTATAGTGATCTAAAAATCATTCATTAATTGCACAAGCACCAATATCGCTTTCTGGTCTTGGTGCTTGTAATTCTTTATACATAAGCTCTAATGACATCACCTTACTTGTACAGGTTAATAAGAAAACAGATACCAACATAATACTTAATAGATGTGTTCACGCAAAGTAAAGGCCAAATCATACCAAGTTATATCATACAAATAAAGTTTTCTGAAAAAAAAAAGGCCCTGAGGGAATTTGTTTATCATTGAAACAAAGACATTCTAAATATTTTTTAATATACTGTAGGAGACAGAATTATATTCTCATAACAAGCAGCATTTTAGTTTCAGAAAAACAAATCGTCTGTCATTTTTAAGTTAATTTTATATAAATATCATTGATTTTGTCATATTTTTTCCATTTAATTTCTAACTAAATTTTGGATTTTATAATTATAGAAGAGCTATAAGTAGAAGAATGATATGCCTCATTTGATTACTGTACATGAATA